GCCCGGGGAAACCCCTCCGGCTCCGTCTCCACAGAGGCCGGGGCCGAAGGAGGCTGGATCATTGGACGGGAGTTCCGGCGGCCAGGCGGCCGGCTTGGTTGATCTCTTTCAGCAAGTAGCAAGACTCTGGGGCTAACAACAAAAAAATCAGGTTCTCTCTCTGTGTCTCTCTGCCTCTGACTGTCTGTCTGTGTGTCTGTGTGTCTGTCTGTGTGTCTGAATTTCAAAGCAGGTGGCCGGTCGGTGGGTGAAACACAGCAGTGGTCCCTGTTGCGCCTTTTGTATCAGGCTACTCAGAATCTTCCAGAACGTTCCATGGAATCTTTTTTTTTTTGGTGGTGGTGAGGGGACCACTGGTAGAGGTGACATCACAGTGACAACGGGGTTGATTTCCACGTGCCGCTTCTCAGCCGCAACGTGGGCAGCTCTGAGAATGGCCGCCAGCCCCGGGTGGCCACAGGCCATGAAGCTGAGTGGCTTCTGGGTTCTGCATCTCTTTCCAGCCAGCTGCAAAATCAGTACGTCTGTGGAAACACCAGTTTTGAAAACCAGAGTCGTAAATCGGCGCTGATTAAAAGGCTCAACCCCTTTCTGATCTGGGTGGGGTCTCTCCGAAGCAATTCTGCAAATTACAGAGGTGCCGTGCGCTCAGCCTCTTCACTCACCACGCCGGGCGACACAGCCAGCCCGAGATGATGTGGAGAGAAAGCACCGGCTTCCACAAACCGTCCCAGCCGGCAGGGCTGTAATTTAAAAGCAATAAAGGGGAAATGGCATCGCCCTCTATGCTTGGCTCCACGAAAACATGAAAGCAATGCTCCAAAGTCCTACCTCAGCGTCTTACCAGGTGAAGAACGCCCAGCCGAGAAACGCCCGCCCAGCCCTCACCAAGAGCAATCGCAAACCAAAGGAGGCAAATGCAAGTCACGGGAAAAGCACGGCGATCCCTGCTGCTCCTACACACGTGTGAACGGAGCACTGCGGCCAACAGGGCCACGCATGGACCCAGATGCACTGCGGGGATGCCGGCCAGCCGCACCCACCGAGCTCAGACGCACCTGCCAAAGCGAGTGTGCGGACCTTCACCCAGGTTAACGCCCGAGGAGAGCGCATTAGGCTGAGAACCCCTATGAGAACACGGAAATGCGCCATGAATCCCTCGCGCACCAAGGCAAACGAATGCTGGGTGGACGCCCCCGTGGGGCCGATGGGCCTGGTTCCATCGGCAGCTGTCCGCCACGCAGGGGTGGGTTGCGGGATCTGGGTTTGTCTCTGCAGGTACCATCGAGGCAGCAGTCCTGTCCCCTCCATCCGGGGTTGGTGGGGAGCAGTGAGCGCAGATGGCCTGAAGCCTGGGAAATGGGGTGTGTTTGAAGGTATGGGTCCCCAGGGCTTGGACACCCTGGCTTTTAGGACCTCCTCTAATCCCGATTCTCCTGTTGGTTGGCACCAAGTAAGCCTCTACACCTGAAGATCAAATCTCCGGGTTCTTCCAGCGATACACGCACCCCTCTGTAAATGCATCCTCTAAGAAGAGAGAGAGAGGCGTTCTGCAACAGTGGCAGAGTGCTATCCCCGCAAAGGCAGCGGAGAATGCACCCGAGGACGCCTGCCGGCTACCGGATGCGCGGCAGAGACGCCCCGGCGGCCTGGGAAGACCCCGAGGCTCAGCGCCGGCCTGCCTCCGCACACAGCCCCGCCTGTGCCCCGGGGAGACCATGTGCATCGGGGGCTCCAAGCCAGACACATCCAATAGGAGACGCAGAGGGGCTGTTTTCCCTGTCCTCACCGCGTGCCTAAAGATTGCGTGACACGGGACTGCATGGGTGCGGGAGGGCCGTGAATGCAGGGAGAGAATCGCCACCCAGAACTAGCGTGGAGCCCGGCCCGTGCTCTATGCCCCTTCTCCCATGGTTACCCCGAATGAAAGAAAACAGGGTGGCGGGACCTGGTCTGCTTGCTCTCTGTCTCTGTCTCTCCAGCTCTCTTCACTGTGTGACCTCTGAAATGTCTCTGGTCAGCCAACTCACTTAAGAGTTGGAACAAGCTCTTCTCTGTATTGACACACAAGTCTGTTCAGTGCACACGATGCTCCACGTGCCACCCCCAAACCTCGTATTTTTGTTTTCTTCCTACGTGACTCCAGCCGCAGCCCGCTGAAGCCATTGGTTTATTTGCTTCTCTGGACAGAGCTGCAGAACCCCAGACCTCTGAAATTATAAAAGGGACGCTTTGTCATCCGTCGCCACTGCTTCTGAATAACATGTTGAAGTCAACAGGCCCTGGACTGGGGCGCCGGGCCTCTGTCACCACGGCAACGCTGGTGGCCATGGCAACCCAGGCAGCGTCGGGGCAAACACGCTTCCCGCCTGCCCCTGGGCTGGGCCTCTGGGAAACCCGCTGCCTGCCAATGCTCCGAGTTTAGAGCTGTTTTTTCAGTTTAAAGGCGGGAGGGCAAACTAGGCAGCGTGCGGCCCATGGGTGGTTGGATGGATCCATAGGAGCACATTTCCAAAAACTGTTTTAAGATATATGCATCCGATCGTTTCCATTCAAGATTATTAATTATACATAGTAATTATTAAAAGCCTAGAATGTGCACACACACACACACACACACACACACACACACACACACGGACCAGAATCAGGACGGCCACAGGTTTCCTTGTACGAATCCTCATTCCCTTCACCATCCCTTCAACCTCGCTCCAGTCTGCATCTCACACCTGAAGCAGACACAGACCCGATTCTAGTCTCCCCATGAGACGCAAGACTTCTTGTCCTCCTCCGGGGACGGTGTGATTCAGATACAAACCTCAGACAGAAAAGCAAGCCCCAGGACTCCCAACCCAGCTCTTTGTCAGACGGTCCCGGGAGACCCGCCCCTGCCCGCAAGGAGCTCAGGGTGTAAATCAACACCGTCTGCGCTCACAGGGGCAGGGCAGACCAGACTCGTGTTTGTACCGCAGGATGGGAGGCTTACGCGGTGATCCCTCTCGCTCACGTTGGGATAGCTCCGTGTCTGGGGACAGGTAGCTGCAGTCAGTCAAGTTGCCCAAGGAGTACATTAGCCAGGTGCTGGTGGCTCACGCCTGTCGCCCTAGCTACTCAGGAAGCTGAGATCAGAAGATCACAGCTTGAAGCCAGCCTGGCCAGGAAAGTCCATGAAACTCTTATCTCCAAGAAATCACTCAGAAAAAGCTAGAAAGGGTGCTCCTGTGACTCCAAGTGGTTGAGTGCTAGCCTTAAGCACAAAGAAGCTCAGGGACAGTGCTCAGGTTCTGAGTTCAAGCCCCAAGACCGGCAAAAACAAAAACAAACTCCTATCATTTGCTTCCCCTGGACACAGAGTAATTTTTTTTTTAAAGGACTTGATGGAAGTGCGGGTATAATATTAGATTGCTTACCTTGTCTACTCCAAACCAGTGTGTCAGGTATGATGTTTCAACATCCATTTTAGGACCAGTGAACTTCATTTTCCCTACTGTAGACCACTGACCAGAATTCTCTAGAGAAGAATCGAAGACCAATCACCTCCATAGTTCAGGAAAATTAGTTTCCATCCTTTTTGGAATAAGGTGCTACACTTCCTCCTCGTGAAATACTGTGTTGTCCATTCCAATTAAAGAATAATACTTACAAACAAGCCAACACCTGCAGTGATTTTCCCCATTAGCCTTTAAGACCAAAAAATTAACATTAAAATTGCAGCTTGGTCTGAATCCATCAAAAAATCCAGGCTTTCGCATTGCGTGCCAAGGTTAGCCTCGGTGAACTCTCTATTTGGCCACAAGATGGGGCTGTCACGTTACAAATATTTAGCAAAGCAACAAGCAAGCACACAGGCAAAGCAGCTTAGTTTTCAGAGATCATTCCGTGTTGGCGACACGCGCTATCTTAAAACATCGTTCTCTAAACAGTCTTTGTTCAGAAGGTCCCCGCCTTGGAAGTTGCTGGACTTTGACAAATCTGAAGTTACTTTAGTTGACAACGACTGTACGCTGAGATCAGGTGTTGGGAAGCCCACCGTAAAGTCACGATTGTTACAGCAGGTGCCAGCCGCGGGAGGAGACCACAGCAGAGACACAGGCTGGGGGAAGAGGCCGCCCCTTCCTCTGCGCCGTACCAGGCGGCACCCACCTGCTCTCCCGTCAGCCGCGACGGGCTGCCGGCCGCCCCAGACCAGCAGCTACAGCTCTTGACTTTAACACGATCGAAACACAATCCTAGAATGCCCAAATCATCATCACCCAGGTGTTTTTCCAGCCCGGTTGACGCACAATGATTCAGTGCTTGCTACTAAAGAAACCCAGAGAATCAGAAGCCAAGGCCCTTCCTGCAGAAAGCCGCTTCTGAGCGATGGCCATAAACTGTCCCACCCCTCCGCTGTCCCCACTGCCCCGAAATGACACCTGTCCCACCACAGACACGGCAGGTAAAACCACGCGAGATAAAGGCACTGTGCAGGGGATCCTGTTCCCTCATGTGCAAATAGCTGAGATCAAATCACCAGTCGCAGGATGGACCGTCATAGAATTGATATAATTGGAACTAACCTCTCACGCAAACTGAAAAAAAAATCGTTTCCACCAAGATATCTGTTCTACATTTGGGGCCACGGGTAAAAATCAACCAGAGAAAACAACAACACTTCAAACTATTTTATTTCTCCTCATGTTCTCACACGTAGCACCAGGATGGGCTTTCACATCAGGATTAAGAACTTGTTTGGAAGCGTAACCTTTAAACTGAAACCGGCAGCTACATTGAAATCTTACGCAGAGAAATATCTTTAAATGAAATCAGCAAATGTTTTGCTGGGTGGGGGGAGCAGGGAGTTTCTCAGAGTGGGTGAGAATAAAAGAGGTATTAAGAAAATCAGGGAAATTTTAAATAAGAGATTTTGCTGGGAAAAGAAAATGAGGGTGACCCTCCCTCGTACCCCACTTCTTTTCCCCTCCCCCCAAAAGAACGAGGAGGCCAAAGGCAAGACGGAATAACAAGGCTCAAACGTTTATTTTCCTGACATAAAATTCAAGTACTTAAAGAGGTTTTCAAAAAGTCTCAAAAGGCACAACTAAGCTTGGGAACTTTTTTTTTTTTTCCTTTTTTTGCTTTCCTACCTATGTTCTACAACTAGACAAAAAAAAAAAAAAAAGTAAAATGAAACAAACAAGTTAAAAACCCCTGTAATTGATTTAAAGACACCGGAGGTACAGGATGCACACCAGAAGGTCGAATGAAGAACAGACACAGGGTTCAGTGTCTAACAAGGCCGGGAGACCCTCCTGAACGCTTCTTGCTGCTTGCAGGAAAGTCCTGGAAGGAACACGTGGTTTCCCACTGATCTTACTTTTCCCTGTGTCCTCACCGGCTGCGGGAAGTAGGCACCCGAGGCGGGCACGGCTGTGCCTGCGGATGACCTTGACCTCAGCCGGAGCCAGGCTTCCGGGCTCACCACGGGCCCGTCTGTGTCTCTATCCTGTTTTTAGCATTCCCCCACCCCCACCCCATAGATTTATAAATAAAATTCTTCTCGAGCTTTTCTTAAATAAAATATTATTAGACGTCACTTGCGGCTTTGCGTACTGGTACCTGAATCCCTGAGCAGCTGGAAACCCAGATTCAGGAAGTTGCCGCCGCTTATCAGAGACGGTCAGGCGTAGAAATAAATTACTTTTTTTTTTCTTCTCTTCTTCAACCTGTGGCTTAAGGCTCAGAGCAGACACTGAGAAACAAACCTATTTTTTTGCTATACATATATATATATATATATAAGTACATTTATATATATGTATTTTGTTTTCAAACGTCTCAAATGTTTGGCCCAAAGCAAAGTTGTTGAGTTGGAGTTACTCAAATGTTCCTCTCATTTCCTCAAAGACGTTGTCTGCACCAGACATCCAATCCAAGGGAAAATCGCAGAGACGCAGGGCGGTGACTCAGGGGTCGATGAAGGACACGGCGATGTATCTGGTGCCGTTCCGCACGGGCAGCCCCTCGTGCAGGTGTGTGAGCCTCCCGGGGTGCATGAAGCTCCAGCCTTTCCTTGGGGACTCGATGGAGCAGTTGTACCGCAAGAATTTGCATCCGCCTCCCTAAGAAAGGCAAACCGAACACACGTCTTGGCTTAATCTTCATCTTACTGAGTGATCGAGTCGTCTCACGGAGAGGTTTCAATCCGACACGTCGGTGTGTGTGAGGACAATCCATCTCCATCCATCAGTCTTCTACGGTAGCGCGCCCCTTCTGTCCCCCTCCACTTCTCCCCGGCCCCGGCCGGTGCCTCAGTTTACCCACTTCCACTCCCACCTGTGTGTACACTTGAGTATTTTTAGGCATTAAATCACGGGCAATATTCAAATAACGCCCTCTGAGATCTGAGACAGAAACGAACCGAAACAATAACACAAGCCCGACCACCCCGGGTCACGCTACCTGGAAGTCTTCTCCCACGTTATTGAGGGCGATGTTGATGGTGAAGGTCGAGGCATCATGGTGCGGACGGAGGGACCGTTGCCTCTCGGGAGAGTACTTCACCACAAAATTCAATAGCGCAAACCCCTGCGAACACCAGAAAGATGGAGGGAAGCAAGTAAGCCTACGCATCTACAAGTAAACACACTGGATGGTAAGAGAATACACTTGGTTGGGAGCTGGGAAGGTGGCTCCGTGGTAGAGCGCTTGCCTCGCATGCATGAGGCTCTGGGTTTGATTCCTCAGCACCACATAAGCAGAAAAGGGCCGGAAGTGGTGCTGTGGCTCAAGTGGTAAAGTGAAGAGCAGAGACACAGCGCCCAGGCCCACAACTGACAAAAATAAAAGAGAAAATACTTGGCTATGATAAATCCCACAGGGCTCTGGAGAATCACACCGTGAGATCAAAAGAGGAGTTTGTCAGGAGTGGATCACCAAGTCTCAACAGCTCATAGAAAATGTTTATTGAAATGAATTCCAAGAAATAAAAATGAGACTTTTTCTATCATTTTGCTTGTTTTTGTTATTTTTTCCCCTTTGATTTCTGTACTGTTTGTCTTGTCTGTAGGATGATCTGTTTCGGGGGGTAAGGGGCCCACAGAAATGGAGGGATAAACGCAGCCGTGCACTCACTGGGCACTGTGTGGCACATGAACTGCATGCACTGCTCGTGGGAGAGGGGAGGCAGAAAACGAGGGATGAGTAACACGATTCAAAAGGAAATGCACTCACTACCTGGCTTGTGTCACACTAATCCCTCTGTACATCGCCTTTATAATAACCAATAAGAGAAAAATATTGTTTTAAAAAGAGCAGCCTGCTAGCCACCAGCGGCGGGGGTTCATGTGGGGGGGTTGGTGGGAGCCTGGCTGGGGCTGGCGGGGGTTCATGTGGGGGGGTTGGTGGGAGCCTGGCTGGGGCTGGTGGGGGTTCATGTGGGGGGGTTGGTGGGGAGCCTGGCTGGGGGCTGGTGGGGGTTCATGTGGGGGGGTTGGTGGGAGCCTGGCTGGGGGCTGGTGGGGGTTCATGTGGGTGGGTTGGTGGGAGCCTGGCTGGGGGCTGGTGGGGGTTCATGTGGGGGGGTTGGTGGGCGCCTGGCTGGGGGCTGGGGTTCATGTGGGGGGGTTGGTGGGGAGCCTGGCTGGGGGCTGGTGGGGGTTCATGTGGGGGGGGTTGGTGGGTGCCTGGCTGGGGCTGGTGGGGGTTCATGTGGGGGGGTTGGTGGGAGCCTGGCTGGGGCTGGCGGGGGTTCATGTGGGGGGGTTGGTGGGAGCCTGGCTGGGGCTGGTGGGGGTTCATGTGGGGGGGGTTGGTGGGAGCCTGGCTGGGGCTGGCGGGGGTTCATGTGGGGGGGTTGGTGGGAGCCTGGCTGGGGGCTGGGGTTCATGTGGGGGGGGTTGGTGGGAGCCTGGCTGGGGCTGGCGGGGGTTCATGTGGGGGGGTTGGTGGGAGCCTGGCTGGGGGCTGGGGTTCATGTGGGGGGGTTGGTGGGAGCCTGGCTGGGGCTGGTGGGGGTTCATGTGGGGGGGTTGGTGGGAGCCTGGCTGGGGCTGGTGGGGGTTCATGTGGGGGGGGTTGGTGGGTGCCTGGCTGGGGCTGGTGGGGGTTCATGTGGGTGGGTTGGTGGGAGCCTGGCTGGGGCTGGTGGGGGTTCATGTGGGGGGGTTGGTGGGAGCCTGGCTGGGGCTGGTGGGGGTTCATGTGGGGGGGTTGGTGGGAGCCTGGCTGGGGGCTGGCAGGGGTTCAGGTGGGGGGTTGGTGGGCGCCTGGCCGGGGCCGGCGGGGGTTCAGGTGGGGGGTTGGTGGGCACCTGGCCGGGGGCTGGCGGGGGTTCAGGTGAGGGGGTGGTGGGCGCCTGTCTGGGGGCTGGCGGGGGTTCAGGTGGGGGGTTGGTGGGCGCCTGTCTGGGGGCTGGTGGGGGTTCAGGTGAGGGGTTGGTGGGCGCCTGTCTGGGGTCTGGCGGGGGTTCATGTGGGGGGTTGGTGGGAGCCTGGCCGGGGCTGGTGGGGGTTCCGGTGGGGGATTGGTGGGCGCCTGGCCGGGGCCGGCGGGCGGGGAGGATGCCCACCTTCGTGTAGTAGCCAGCGAAGACCTTGAGGGTCACCGGAGCGATGAACTCGCGGATGAAGTGCAGCCACACGCTCTCCAGGTCCACCTGCTTCATGTGGATGTCGTCCGTGGGCACGTTCTCGTAGCCGCCCGAGATGCGGCTGTCCTGGAGAGGAGGGCGCAGGGGCGGGTCACCTGGGCACGGAGGCCCTCGACCCGTGTCACCCCGCCCCAGCCGCAGCCCTGCGCAGCTCTGCGGTCCCATGCTCCCCTCCTCC